GTTCCCAGGCAATACGACCGATCACCCAGTCCAGTGTTCAGCACAGTGGTACTACATGCTACTTCTAAGTTCATTATATCAATGCATGATTTCTGTACGTAGTCTCCGTTAGAAGGGAGAAGGTGAAGCATGTAGTTCATAATAAAATAGGTGTAAAAACACAAACTTTTCGAGAAGTCTCAATTTCGACTCACACTTATTTAGAATGCAGTGGTTGTTCTATTAAACACGACCCCTCAATCCCCTGGACGAAATAGGACCCGGCTCCGTACATCTAGAATTCCTCGACGTTAGCTCATCATGGAGAGGATATAGATTTTCGGAGTAGTTGTGGAAATGAGGAGTAATTTGGAGTTTTTCTGCAGCTGCTATCATGCAGGGTGTGCAAGTGCACTTGCGTCACATGGGCTTTCCAATTTTGACAACGGTAAGTGCTGCAGCTATCGCTACTTTCTTAGTTGACTTAGTTAGAAGCGGAGACCTTTCAAGAGAATAATGTACAATTCCGCAATCTAGCTGTGGTTAGGTGAGGTTAAAGGAATGGAGTTTCAACGCGTGGAGAGTAAAAATAATTGAAAATACGTAAAGCTTCGATTTGCTCAAAAATGATGTGCAGTATTTGAAGGTGGGTGAAATCAGTTGGCTTGGAAAGCTGTTAGCATGACCTGTTTCTTAAAAATCCCTCCCTATAAATCCCGTCGTGGGTCAATATTCTGCATGAAAGATTGATCAAGTAGTCTGTTTGGGAAATCGGCATGTTTGTCAGCAGGTGTAAGCCTATGTCAGATGCGATAAGTAAAATCCGATTCTCTGCAATTCTCAGAAGGAGCACACATGCATGGCGCGTACGAATGGTAGCTACGCTTCAAAGGTATGCCTCAGGATCAGATTAGTGTGGTTCTTGCGCACGAATACAAATGTATTGGTGCGAAATGGGCCAGCAATACAGACGCTTGGGTCAAGGGTTCACTTACCTCAATCGGCTGTGCTTAGGCAATGAGAGACTAACAAGGAAGGTCGTTCAGGGTGTGCCAAGCTTTTTCAAAATGGTTTCTTGCATGATATAGGGGCACATATGGGGACCACAGAACCATGGTTCATTTTTCCTGAACGGCCCTCTGAATACCAGAAAAGGGGTCCCTAGTTCGATTCCTCGTGGTGACAAATTTTTGCATTTCGTGTTGACGTTTCCAAATTCGCGCAAAATGGAGTTAGCATGAATAATTAGTACCAAATTCATGATTAGGAACGTCAGTAACCCTTACAAATAGACTTTGATTGAAAAACTGGTGAAAAAGGTGTGACTAGGGACCCCCTTTTCTGGTATTCAGAGGGCCGTTCAGGAAAAATTAACCATGGTTCTGTGGTTCCCGCATGTGCCTCTATATCATGCAAAAGACCGTTTTGAAAAAGCTTGGCACACCCTGAAAGACCTTTGTGGTGAAGTAGAGTTGCAGGGAAGAAAGTGCAACAGAGAGAGGGCAGGCAACAGCCTCATACAAGAACTTTAGTGCAGCTTAGCAAAAGCTCTAACGCTCTTTTCGGGAGGCTTCCGTCCACGGGAATGCCGCATTAGTGATTGCCCTTCAGGGAGCTATCCTATAGGTCGAAGGGAACTGTTCACTCGAGTTTTACCTGGGTTGGGCTTCAAGTCTTGTGTAAAGACGGACATATGATAAGCGACTCTGCTGAGGTGTTTGACAGTGAAAAGTTTCGGAAGATTGCTGAATCTTTATTGAGGACTTTAATTATGATAACGGCTTTGACTCTGCAGAACAGTATATTAAGTTCATATAGCTTACCGGGACTCGGAGGGGGCCCTAAAGGTCAGGCGTGTGACGTCTTTGTGCCACGAAGGCGCCGCTGTACCACAGACTAGCTTTGCTAAAGAGCGGCCTCTGTCCACCCACGGATTATCTACCCGTGGTCCTGTGCTGTTGGACTCGAGCAGAACATGACGTCAGCATCAATATGACTGGTCCGTGTCAACGAAAAAAAATACAGAGGTCTATTTGTGAGTTTAGGCCGTTTCCTTCAGTTTTTTTTTCAGCTGCTAGGGTACCGTTTTCCCCCAAAAGAAGATAACTTGAAATTGCACCTTTAAGAGTGCGTTTGCTATTTGTATCGAGAGTGTTGCATGATCGTAAGGGTGCTCAAAGACAAGAACAGGACTAGGAAAAGAGGGAGACAATCCTGAAATACGTAGGAAACATTGCGGCATTTTTTGTTCGAGTGTGCTGTTAAGACAGGAGGTGAGCGGATTATGTTGAGCGCGGAGAGTGTATGAGAAGATCCAAGAGAGAGCATAGCAGATCAACGTAGCGACGCAGACAAGACATCGATCGGGCGGACGGACCATGTTATGTTTGGTGGAGTCTGTTTGAAGTTCATGGCGCCTAGGGTCCTGGTGACGGGTTTCGATGTAGAAAGGTGGCGCTCCCTTTGCATTGCGTACCCGAGCACTTTCTAGCCAATGGTAAGGGCTTCTTAGGTGGGTCGGCCAACTTGTTGCCTTCAAACAATGCTTGCACTTTCCCTACACAAATTATGATCACTTTCTGCCTAAAAAGGTAGAAACATGTCTGGTCTTGACGGAATCTCAAACATGCGCTATGCTGATGGGAGGCAGCGCTTGTGGATACCGTTTGTTCCACCTGCCTGTTTGATCTGTCGCGCTTAGACCTCGTTCGAAGCTCCACCTTCTAGGGAATTCGGTGATCTGTTGGAAGGAATGCATGCGGACCAATATGGAGAGGTCATTCCGCGAAAGGGGTTGTATCCGAATTGATTGGTGATGTATAATTCGCATCTGTCAAAAACTTGCAGTTTTGATACAAGGGAGTAGATTAATCGGCTTGTTGGTTTAGCTCTTGCTCTTTGTCTTCTGCAGGAGAGCGCCATTTTCAAACTGCCGATACTCGGCGCAATCTTTCTCAATAAACGTTGGAGAGAGAGCGCGCGCGTGCCCTGCGTGTTGGTCTTTGATACGGATTGCGTTGTGACGGGTCGCCCACTCTTAGTGAGAGAAGGCGCTTCCTAAGAGGCGGAACCGAAGCAACCGCCTGAAGGCTATTGCTCCCACGATCTAACATAGCCTTCCTTTCAGCGCAAGTGACAAGTTATAGCCCCGATACGCCCTCCTCTCGGGTCGTCTCGTATCTGAGTCTCTATCCGCTTAGCAGGCTTTTGCTTTGAAGAGAGCAGCACCTATGAGAGCGGCATCAATGCGCAAATCAATGGGCAAGGAAGGGTCCATTTCTCGAGTTCCTGTGACATTTTCTCTATTTTTTCGTCTTACATGTATCACTAAAATTCCAACTTAATTTCAATGGACTGCCTTCTAATCGTGCAGTCCGTCCCGTCTTAACAAAGCATATGCGAAGTAGCCAGCCCAAAAATGTGTGAGAAGCTGGTGAGCGACACAAAATTCTAGTTTTAAATTATTCTTTAAATTACAGCGTCTTGTATGTCAAAACAATTTGCATGGTGAATTCTTTACGTGGAGTTGCGAAATGGATTCTACGGAACACCATCGAATCCAGGCAAAGTCTGACACCTGAACTTGCACTTCGCCTGATCACAGAGGCGAGTCCTTTGTGGAAAGCAGGACCAGAGAATGTGCCCCTTCGTCGATCCATACTGGGCTTTTTATTGGCCAGGCGGCCAAGCAGTCACCAGGTAGACGACACCGAACCACAGTGGGTGCGATCGCTGGAGGATGGGAGCTAACTGAGCAGGTCACCCTATGTTGTTAGCTTTTTGAAAATTTTTACGACCTCCCTCCCAAGGTGAATTCGAATACGACGCCCCTTTTCACCCTGCGACATATTGCGTCGGCTATGTATTCATTTTGTAGCCACCCAAACCACAACCCGCCACTTTTTCCTGCAATCGTCAACGGGGGAAGGGTAAATAGCTACTCTGAAAGCAGTACAAATACTATATCCGTCTTCAAACTTCTATTAGGTTGGAAAGAAAGTTCTGCAACACTCTTTCCAAAATTTTCTTTTTTTCTGAAAAATTCATAGGTAACATTTATGACTACCAAATGATAGAGCATTCTCAAGGCTTCAATCCACGAGGTGGATATAAGTTCTGCAGTCAGTAGTTATCCAAGAAAAATTCAAAAAATCTCGACCACTAGCAAATCCGTACTCCGAGTCACTGTCTAGTACAAATGTCTACAAAACCATGGATTCGTGTCAACGACTGACACTATCTGCAATAGCTTCTAATGGCATGCCGTTCAGCGATACAGCGTGTTTCACCTTTACCAGCGCTTCCGATCTTTTGATATTTTTATAAGAAGCCAGCAGCATCCCTCACACTCCATTACAGGTAGGGCTCTTACAGAAGCTCCACTACATACCCTTCGTTATGGGCACCATTGTGTAGGCAGTGGCCTAGGTTGTGAAGTACCAGAAGCTGGCCGAGGTAGCTCGTCAAGAGCCCTCGTACCGCGACAATATTCATTTCTTTCATGACATTGCGAATCACCATGATCCGAAATGAGCCCGGTAAGAAATTCTGGAGTTGCGGCAAGATTTCTTTCCTCTCTTAGCGTAATCCCCTGGTCGAGCTGTAAATAAGTGCTACCTATCCTGGACCTTTAATCATCATCTTTATAACGAAATAATCAGACGATCAACTCCAACTCGAAAGTGAGGTCGCCTCCTTTCTCGACTCGCACTCCGCTGGGTTTTGGCGGAGGAGGATCAAGAAATTTTCTGAGCGATGGAGACAAGTGGTGGACACTCATGGTAGATATAAGACCGGTCAGAAGTTGTAACCAAAAAAGATAAAATTAAAATCAAAAATTTGAAAAAGTGTTGCAGGACTTTCTTTCCAACCTAATATTTATAGCCTTTACGTATATACCGCACTCTTATTTTATAGCGCAAAGTCGTATACTCGCCTAAAATCGGCAGTTTTTTTCTCGCCTCCACTCACCCAGGCCTACCTACCCTAATACTTCAGTTTTCAGCTAAACTCAGCATGTAATTCAGCGACGAAACTGGTAGTATCTGCTCCTACAAACGTCAACCAGGTGACCCCCCGTCTGATTAGCTAGTCACAACGGGGATTGACCCTGCTTGGAAGCTCCACTGTTTGCAGGCAGGCAGTCAAACCACATCTCCCACCGATGCTGAGAGCTGTAACCGTACCCTTTCTTACAATTAGTGCGCTCCTACCAACGACGTCTCCAAGTTAGCTCCGCCTCCCATCCATCGCAGTCACTGCCTTTAAGAACGCTAACATAAATTCACGTTTCTAGGTATATTCTTGACAATTCTCAGTTGTTTTTGGGTGCAAACGTTCTAGATTTTGGATGTGGCTGCGGTTCCGCCAGCATAGCGGCATCCAAAGCAGGAGCCACAGTGATAGCCAACGATATTGATTCAAGTGAGGTCTATTTTCCACTTGAGGAATGCGCCATGCACTCGCTTCTAACCAGTATAGAGGGAACTCGACGAAAGTCGTTCTAGAGGATAAGATTTGAGCTTCGATGTTGATTAATTCCTTTTGGGATTTTGGATAGCGTAATAACT